GTGAGGAGGAGTAAGGAATGACGCAGTTTTCTCCTAGCAGTTCCAACCCCGTCGTGGAAAATATCCACCTTGGAGCTGAACTCATTAGTCGTTCTGATAGACTTTTATGATAGGGTTTTGATACCCATACTTGGAAGAAATACGAGAGAAGATTTCACTTTTAATTCGGATATTATATGATTTCTTTTATACTGCATAAAATCTTCCTATAAGTGCATCAAAACTATTAATTACCCCACAATAATTGATAAAATTGGTTGGAGGTAACTGTAATCATCTCCGAGTAGAGAGTCTCTAATGTCGTTAACGTATCTTTTCTGAATATTTTCCGTCTCATTTACCTTTCCTCGTGCGACTTAGAAAGCCCACCTGTTGAAATCGACCTCTCGTTTCCATAGTCGCGTATAGAACCCATAAAAAAAGTGAAAATCTAACGCGGCACGAATTTATTACACTTTTGCACCGTCTTTTAAACAGAAATTGAACGTTACCGAAAACGTGCTTCGAGAAAGTCGTCGAACTGACACCAGCTTCGAAATTCTTCCGCCGGCTCCTCTCCTTTTTTTACCCAGGCGGGGTTCGCGTTCCACGTTCGCCATTTCATGCATTTATTCTTGCGCGATATGAAATATGCAATTACGTGGATTCTTTCCTAACTACGATCGAATATTTGACACTCGACTCGCGTGACACGAATTCATCACGCGACTCGTATTAAACGCATCGGCGTACGAAGTCTCGTCAATTATTAACGCGACGTATTTAATGAGAAAATTGTATGTACAGTTTATTTATTACGTTTCGACGTCGCTCGTGTAACGTAATATTTTTATCAATCTCCGAGGAAGAGGTTCGAGTTAATAATGGGTACGCGACGCGACAATTAAACATCAACCAAATCTTTTTCCTTTTTTTCTCACAGATCTCTGTCGTAATAGGGGAAAAGATCGTTGTCGGTCGGTAGAAAGTGAAAAGCGTACCCATCGTTACGATCAAATTTTATTTATCTCGTGTCGCATACAATCCGGATCGCACGCAATCATTAAGTAGAATTAACAGAATTAAATCTTATTTTTTTCTTAATTTATATAAACCTGGAATTATAAAACGTACTATGGTAATTAAGTTAGAGTGAACGCTGACTGAGTTCATTATATTTTATTCCGACACGTGAGAGTCGAGTACAGCGAGTTGCATCGGAAAAGAAAAAGACAACGATTTGAGGAATG